GGAATTACCTTATAACAGTTACAGCAACCATGAATCAGGTCATTACTGGCATTGACAAACGGATTACCGACTCTTTATGATTATTAAGTAAAGTAAAAGTAAAGTATTTTTAGGATTCTTTTTAAGTAAAATATTCCTAGGAGTAACATACTGTGGCCACAGACAGGCAGCTAAGGAATTTGGAATTTGATCAATCATTGTTATCTGTCACGAAAAAGAGTCTGGTTTCCCCTGCCTGTTAAAGAAGTGACTCCAGTGTTCATATTCATCTCAGGAGATGGAGATCATATTGCCTTCTATCTGTTGAACAGAAAGAAGTTGTTATGTCCTCTGTTTATTGTATCTTCTCTGAAGAAGTTCTTCTCTGACGCCGCATTTTATTAAAACATTTCAAGGAAAAAGGGAAAGTCTGTTGCTGTTGGAATGTCGATGGTCTTTGCATTTTCATGATGGGGCCAATTGTTGCTCCATTCTTTTCATGATGTTAATGGTTGGACACTGATCTTTATTTGCATTCCTTCGGCGAGGACTACCTTATTTTAAACCTGAATCTACAGCTATGTGGTGAGCGTTGGCGCCTTTTTCCTTCGCACTGTTTTTCTCATTTATTTATAAGCCTCTAAGGGAAGATATTCGAGTGAGCCAACCAAGGTTCCAACGTATGACCACTCGGTTCTGAGTTTGACGCTCTACTGACTGAGCAACCCCGATGCATTGAATACAAGAACTTAAACATTCGAAAATCGACTTGAGCAGTTTTAATTTCATCTGTAAACATTTTTTGCACTCTGACTGCGTCTTTCGAAATAATCTCTTGTGCGGATTCAATCTGCAAAAGTTTATTGTATTGCCTTGTTATGCTGCTATGTCTTTTGACCATCGTCTTGACTCAGTCCGTTTTTTAGCGTATCAAAACTTTACCCGTACTACGTGCGAAATGCTTGCGTCTAACGGCTGGTCCATATCGTAAGGTTAGCTTTTGTACGCTGACTCGCCTTGTGACTTCTAGTTTAGGTGCGATCGCTCGCCGGTGCTCTTCTTCTGCGCGTTATCCGTGTTTCTCGCCTACCTATCGGCCGTTCTGGCGTTTCCGTCGTTTAGGTTTGCCAAGATGTACCGCGACAGTTTGAAGTTGGAAGTCAGCTTTGTGACCAGGTTTGATTCATCCTTGCTTGAAGCGAAATGGATATCCCTATTTATCTGAAGTTTGTACATTCGAGTTTGATCTACTGACGGCGTTTTACGGCAACTAGCAGCTGCTCGCTGGTCTTACTGTCGTTTAGCATGCGACATAAAATGAATAACCATAAATTGGTTCGATTTTCTCTGTTTTGTCAAATATGACGTGTAACAGAAAGTTGTGCAAAACATGCGTATTTCTTTTTAATGTGAGGCATCGAGCATTGTATATGAGCAATAAACCCGTCTTCTGAAGGTTTACTGCTAAAGTGAGGTCTCCAAAAAATTTTGATTTGGAGACAAATGGAAACAAATTCCAAGATTCCAAGATTACTCTGGCTTCAGTATGGATTCTTCGAAGTTCCTACACGCCGAGCACAATCATGCCAGGCCATTTTGTCCTTGGCAGTTTATATCCTTCCCGCTATTTCTTCTACGTACATCCGTCATCTAATCGGAAATCGCCCTAGTGGTCGTTTTTTTCCCTCGGGCACCATTCGGATATACGCGAAGCCCATCTGTTGTCATCAAGACGTGCGACGTGACCTGCCCAACGTATCTTGCTTTCTCTCGTGGTTCGCCCGATATCTTGCACGCCACTCATTTTGCGGAGAGTTTTGTCGATACGGTCACTAAGAGATATTCTAAACATCCTTTGTTCCATTGCTCTCTCCGTCACAGCCAGTATATTTTCTTTTGCTTTCGTCAGTGCCGACGTTTCGCCTCCGTATGACATTGCCTTAAACATTACGCTGTTGACGAGGCGAGCGCGGTCTGTCTCGTCTAATTCTTTGAGGATATCGATGATGCTCTGGAATTTGCGCCATCCGGCAGCCCTTCGACGTATAATCTACGGTAGATCTTGGCGCATATTCAGTTTTTGGCCCAAGTGGACAGTTATTGAGTTCCAACAAATCCGCGCCGTCTACCTGTAAATAGTCTTGGGCATGCCGATATCTTGCATCATTTTCGTCTTCGTTGCTTTGATTTTAACACCTGCTTCTTTACTTCGTTCGTTGAGCTCTTCAATATTTTCATTTCTCGAGCTTCTTTTGCGATAAGTACTATGTCGTCTGCGAAACGTAGATGATTCAGCTGTTCGTCGTTGAGTTCAGACCGCCCTTCCAGTTCAGTTTGCGGAACGCCATCTCGAGGCAGGCATTAAAGAGTTTGGGTGATAAAGGATCGCCCTGTCTAGCTCCCTTCTCCATCGGTGTACGAATTGGGTTTGAAAAAAGCTTTATTTCGGTCGATCATCCTATATTCGCTTTTTTGATGAATTCAGCGTAGTTCTCACTGATTCCGTCTTCCGGAAACAAGTGAGATAGCGGAAACTATGTAAAATACTGATATG